TAGCTGCTGCAAGAAGATCGCACAGATTACAAACAATGGCATGACAAAGCAGCAACAATGGTGCATTGGAATATCTGCAAGAAATATCACTTGTCTGCAAGCAAGAACTGGTGGGACCACAAAATAGACAAAGTAATAGAAAATGAAGAAGCTAAAGTGCTCTGGGATTTTAGAATTCAAACAGTACAAGTATCTGCCACACAAAACCCCAGCTTAACAATTGTTAAGATATGCTTCCGGTGCTGGTTAAACACAGAACAACTCCAAAGGAAGTTACTGGATACTTTGGTGTAGTCAAGATGAGTATCTGCTCCGTGCCTTCCACTTTTTAAGGCTCCGTTGACTTTGGACACACATGAAAAGCATTAAATGTTTTCACACATTACAAGTGTTTGAAGCTTTTGAGAGTTTTAACAAAGGCTTTTTTTTTTACTCTTCCTCCCCCATTAATATGAATCTTTTTGTTCTAATTTTAGGTCAAGATGTTGTTTTCAAGTGCCTTGGTGAGAACATTCTCCAGAATGCCTTTGAAGGTTACAATGCATGCATTTTTGCCTATGGGCAGACTGGTAAGCATTAGCAAGGTGCAAATTGAGGGAAAGGGGGAAAATGTGTTAGTTTTGATTATTAAACAAATTAGGAACAGTACCAAACAACATGTCAGGGAAAAGACAATAGTTTATAACTTAATTGTTCATGCTTCCCTCAATTTCAAATGCTGGTTTTGATTTCATAAAGCCTTACACAACTTTTTTCACTACTATAGAGTGACTACCTTATTTCCTCCCTTATCTGTCTTGAATGGCTCATATTCACATTATCTTCATGCCAGGCGCTGCATATAGCCCAAAATTTAAAAAGACATTGGTAACCTTAAGTACAGTAATGCACATCTAAACTACAATAAAGAAAGGAAACAGAAACACAGACCCTGGGGCAATATAGATAGAGAAAATTGTTGTAATGGCCCCTTGTGTCAACCCTGATTCCTGATTACTTCCAAAAACTTGATGACATTTTTGGAAGTAGCCATTGCTTTCTTCCTAGCGCTCAGAGTGTCTGAGCTAGAATCACTCAGCTGGTTTTATGCCTATGAGAGGACTAGAACTCGAATTCCTCCACTCCTTTAAACATTATACCAAATTGGCTTTCGTAAGAGGGGAGTATGCAATACATACCAAAGCCAGTTGAAAAAACAACTTTTACCAGTTTCTTAACATTAGAATATTTATAGTTAATGAGAAGGTTTGGGCCTGATTGGGTTGGGGTGAAAGGAGGGAGTTTGAGAATTGTAGTTAAGAAGTTGTAGTCCTAGTCCACCATATTCACCTACCAAATTTGAATCAACCACAGAGCAGTTAACAATTAAAATGGGCAGATTGTACGGGGAGTAGGCTATCCTTTAGATAGACTGATTCAGAATTTAGTTCTTTAGACATATTGAAGATCAAATGAGTTATATTTCCTAAAGCTATCCCCCACCATTCTACCCTTTCTCCCTAACATTTTGCCATAATTTAAAGCAAAGATACCCAACCTACAAACCCTCAGGGAATCTTTTGCAGCCCTTAGAACACTCTAGGAATTGGCAAAACCAAAATGCTAGAGTTTGGGAAGGATTTTAAGAAATGAAATGGAAGGCTCATTAATAAAGCCCAAGCCTTTCTGGATCAGGTTGATTTATTTCTACATGGAGAAGGTTAAGGAGGAAAACAATTTCCTTGAGTCTCTGCAGAGCAACAGGCATCAATTTTGCTGCTCCCCCCCCCCCCCCAAATCTGAAAAATCTGGCTCCACCTACTTGGATGACATTACCAGCCACAATCACTGCAACCCTCAGAGACCAAGCACTGCCGCTGGCTGCAGAAAAGTTGCACGCTCCTCATTTAGAATGCCAGATGAATAAAGCCCAATATGGGAGCTTATAATTAGGAGCCAGCTGCTTTACTGTCTTTTTTAAACAATTATTTTTACTGTTGACTGCACTCCTCAGGGCTCTAGCTTGGTAAAGGTAATATAAAAGAAAGTAAGGTTTAAAGAAATAGGAAGGTGGGAGAGGGTGGGGGTGATGGGGAAAAACAGCACATCTTTTTGCTTTCCCATTAGCTACTGAAGATACTGGCTGGTATTGGGCAGAGAATAATGGTGAGATAATAGTTATGGTGGATATGGGCTGAGGACAGGGCAGGAATTTCCCACTCTTCCCTCTCTTTGATAGTTTTTTTTAGCTTATATGCAGCAAGCAAAAAAGCTGAAGATCCAGAATAATATTTGTTATGTACGGATGCAGCCAGATATAGCCCTTATTCCAAAATCGAATTCATAGTAATTTGTAAAGGAAGACAAAGCTCCTTCTCAAAATATTTATAGTAGGCTGCTGATAAACCATCTGGGCCAGGTGCTTTTCCACAATTAATTTTCTTAAAGGCAGATAACATTTCCTCT